CACAGCTTCAAGACTGACATAACCACTACAGCTTCTGGGAAGGAACCTCTTCCTAAAGCTGAGTCTGTGCTCACAGAAAGCTTCTCAAATGGGATTACCCAGGGCAGTGGGCTGGCATAGTGCTGAAACCACAGGCACACGTGTAAGCTCTAAAACTTCCCATTTAGACATGACCCAGGAGTTCTAAACCAGGGTAGGCAGAAAAAAAATGCATTTCTATCAATAAAAAACAGTCACTAGGACTTGGGAGGAGTAAAGTGAGGAGTGTTCATGTCTTGAGGCCTTGAAGACATTCCTAGGGAAACAGATTCATTTTTAACTACCTAGAGGTTTTTTTACTTATAGCCACAGAGTCTTACAGGAGAAGGTTTTTGATCCTTTAGTACATAAAGAAGTAATCTAAGGACAAATATCTGCACACTCCAGACATACAGCTTGCAGGTTTGTCTTTGATGAGATTAAAAAAAAAACAAAACCCAACTTTATTTGTGCCATGTTGGCACAAGTTAGGCTACAACACGACCACAAGCTAAAGCTAAGTCTATAGGAACAAGACTCCTGACATTAGAAAATCTGGACAGACAAACCCAAAGCATAATGTGATTCTGCTGGTGGAAAAAATTATCAGTACAGAAAGAGGGTGCACATTTTAACAAAAAACATAAAAAAAAAAAAATCTAAATCTGGCTGGATCCAGGCAAAAATTTTGTTTGGAATCTGAATTCCTCAAAGAAGGGAGTACACAAAAACTGTTTTTAGTGACCTGCTCATGCTAGTTCAAAGTTGTTAAAATAATGAAGTCTAATCAAACTGCAGAAGGAATTAAATGATGAAGTTGACTGCAGTACCAGAAGCATGGCTTAAAAACCTTCTAGATTTCCATCCTACTTTCCTATTTCTAGAAAATAATGCATTTACTTTGAAAAACAACAGGATGGGATTCCTCTTCATTGATGCTTTTAAGGTCAAATGGGAAAACTCAAGTGTTATTATTTCTCATAAAAAATTAATACTGCACATTACAAAACTGAAACACATTTTCCTTTGCATGGCAAAGAAGCTTTTGAAACTGTTAGGGATAAATTACTTGCGAAGTGAGTTCAACAGAATTTGGTGGGAAAAAAAAAATCCACCACCAAATAATGCCTATATGACAAATTGCTTTCTTGATTGCTTTCCTCTACACTTTGGAACAGATGCACAGAGAAGCTAAAGCTGCAGAGGTTACATTTCGCCTCAATGTAAAAATTAATTAAATGGAATATCTGCAGCCTAGGTACAACTTACCTTTCAAGACTCCTTGGGCCAGGCAGCTCTACTCCAGAACACTATAAAGCATAGTATGTGAGTACATTTGTACAATTTAGGCTGCATAGAAGTTTCCAATCCTACAGATAAGCACAGGACTACACATGCCTGAAGAATGACTTGTATGTAAAAGTTATACAAAAGCTTCATTTATAATGTTGAAAATCTAAGTGGTAACCATCGCCATGAACCACATGTGTAAGAGGAGTTAGGTCAAATGGAGAAAGCTGAAGCAATATTTCAAATATATTCCTTTCATTTCAGCATGTGAGTGCTTTCTCACGTTAGCCCTTCCTCCATACATGGGGGAGGGGAAGAGTGAATAATAATTAATAGGCTTACATTGCCCTGTGTTACGAAGACTGACGGCTTCCCTCCTCGTGACAGTGACTTTGAGCATGAGTTGTGCTGTCATGTAACAGGCAGCCCTTTTCCCTTTTTGGCAACATCATTAATTTTTTTAGGCTTCTTGCTGCTCCCATGCCCTAAGGAGGTTTCACACATGTTCCAAGATTAACCAATATATTTTGCTTTTATATGTAAACTCAATTAATTTTTGCTCTTTCACTTACATTCAGAAAAACTAGCTAACAGCAGAGAAATTAAATGAAGTGAAAGAGCAAACAGCATCTGTGATGTTTCCCATGACTGAAGGTCCACTAGAAGGTCTTGCATTTGCCATGTTTTGGCATTGCTGCCTTTCCATCTTACATCTCATTTCTTATCAGTTTGATCCTAACTTTGACCTGAAAATAGGTAGCAGATATGACTGCAAGAAGGTTCGTACTCCTCCCTGAGTTACTGAAATTGCTTAGTGAACTCTGAAACCATCAGTGATTTCAAGAGGTTTCCCAACAAAAGCATCTTAAATATAGCAGCTGTTTGCGCTAACTAGGCAAAATGCACATGATACAGCATATAATCCATATAAACTATTACATGAATTGAACCTTATCTGTGCAGTACAGTGAAGATGTGCCTAAGATAGCCATTAAGTAAGGTAAGAAGCTGTGTTTGACTTGGTACTGAAAGGAAAGCACTGCAGAGCCATATCACATTGTGCAAATACAGACAGAAGCCACACAGAACAAGGTAGGCTTGTCTTAGAAGGCTGTTACAAAAATACACTGTTGAGCAGATAAATATTATAATGATAAATTTGATTTGATAGTTATTTTCTGAGTGTGGCTCAGATTTACTTCCCATTTAGTAACAAATGAATGTTCTGAAAACTTAACTTGCACTATCACAGGCAAGGAAAGGTTAAAAACATATAGCTTCAACCTTCCATACATTCAATCTTCAGAGAAGATAATTAATATCATATGTACCATGGGAGTTTAGGAAACTACTACTACTACAAAAAAAAAAAAACAAAAAAAAACCCCCAGGTAATACCTACAAGACTCGTGAGCTAGACTTGCTTATAAAACTTGACTGACACCAGTGTTGGCTTTGTGCTGTCCCAACACAAGAGCACTCATTTAAGTGTCCAGCTTTTGGAACTGAGCCTTGTGTTTGAAGAAATGGCTGCTTTCGGAAGCCACCTCTCAATTCAGCATTTAGCATCCTTTAGCAGTTATCCTCCTGATCTGAACAAACATTCAACTGCAAAACTAAATTTTTGTCAATCAACACCAGAGCCTTTGGAAATGTTCGTGTTGCACATGACTGCCAAAAGAGCGTCAACTACATTTTACAGTCTTCAGATTACGCAAACTGTAATTATCACTGATACTGAAAACTAATTTTCAATGTGATATTACTTTCTTCTCACTAGAAGAGAGATAAATACTTGACTGATTTAACTCTTGAATAGAATACTGATGTTATCACTGTCCAGCTGCAATGGAAAATGAGTAAAATCTGTCTTTCACAAGAGTTATGCATAGAACAAGTACAGATGCGTATACATACCAACACTCTGAACACAGAAATGGGGCTGAGCTGCAATTTTTTCTCTTTTGAATGAAAATGAGGATTAAATACAAGGTACATTTCAAAACCAGCTTGGAAAATACCTAACTCACATTTACCTTCTTTATTTTGGCAGAAGAGAACTTATTGGCCCATAGGAGCATCCAGACCTATGTCAGCATAGTCAAGGTCTCCTGTTCTTAGAAAACCTTAATAACGTATTTCTAAATATAACCTTAATGAATAAAACTAAAAAATAAAAAAAGGGCATTTCAATAGAATTTTAGCTTCATACTGGGCAGAAACAGGTAGCTGAATAATTTTACGATTTTATGGAAACACAGAAATGAAACGGACTGTCTCCCATGTTAAGACAAACAAATTTGTGCAACTAGAAGAATGCTGCAAATAAAAAACAAAAGTACTACCAGCAGCATGCAAATCCTGCAGTGTTTTTGGCTTTGTTAGACGCATCTTAACACAGGGGTCTTTTTCTGGGCTTTGTGTATCACCTAAATAAATTGTAGTGAAATACTGTACACCTCTGCCCTTGAGAGAATATCAGCAAAGTCCATGGTTAAAAACAGTCAGGTAGGTACCACTAAGTCCCTTCACTTGTTCAGTTTCCTTTCCCCTACTTTTGGGATGCAAAGTACTTTCTGCTTGAGTATACGCAACCGCTACGTTTACACATTCACACAAGACTTGGCAGAGACAAATATCTGCCTATTCATTATAGACTCTGCACTTCACAGTTAAAGGTCAAGCAAAAGGAAAAGCAAAACCAGATGCAAAGCCAACTATAATGGGAGCTATATAACACACAGAAGTACAAAACAACAGGTATCTTTGGCAACAGGCTTTCACATAAAAAAGAACAAGAAAATAAAGAGAAAGCACAAAAAAGACTTAGAAAAACAAGCATTGTTCTTCAAAAAGCACAGACAAAACAATCCAAATGACATTTTAAAGTGTACCCCAAAAGCAGAAGACTTAAATACATTACAGTTTCTAGAAATAAGAATAAAAATGACACATTGGATATGACCCTTTGCAGTATGTCACTTCACCTGAAAAATTAATACGAATTGTGTTCATCAGTAAATGGATTTTCTTCCAAAAATTTTATCTCGGCTAATATTTTTTTCACATATTTTTAACAGTCAATAGAATTTATGAAGTGGGAGAGAGGAGCAGAACATACGCACAGGCGTTCTAGCACAAACGTACAGGTGATAGAAAGTTCTGTTCCACATTAATAACTGAAAGCAGCACATCTTTACTCTGTAAACACAGAGCTAGGTCACTCATATAATGAAAAACATGGTTTTGTGTAAACTGAAGTAATAAATAATAAAAAAGATACTGTGTAGACATTATTATCTCTGAGGTTCTGGACAACAAGCATTTCTCCCCTTCTTTGAGGGGACCACTCCACAGACTGAACTCATCTGTTTTTATATCATGTAGTTTTACTTGTTCAAGTCAAAAGTGGAGAACCATGAATATCCTGGCTTCAAACAGGAATAGCACTAATCCAAATGTTAAGGAATCAAGTTTCCTAATGGCCTGTTCTGCTGTAGTGCAACATGCTTTATTAGCACAGAGACTGGGGGATGTGTTCTTCTGTTTTAATCAACAAACGCAATACAAATCCCTACATGCACCTACAAAGGTGCATAATACATTTTTGTGACAATAGGCAAAGGGTCATCTCGCGTGGCAAGAACAGCCTCCAGAACAGAATAAATATGTAAGAAAAACATTTGACGTACTTGGATCTGACAAGATGGAGTCGGTTTTCGGCAAAAATTGGTCACAGCGGACTCCTTGGTAGCCCTCTTTGCACCTGAGAAAAAGGGGATAAATGACAAACATACGCATGCGATAGTAAAAGGTTAATTTCAAGGTAGAAAATCAACTGAATTTTTCCCTGTCAGTGCTGTGAGGGACGTGCATATTTAGAGTTATCTGAATTATTATAGAAGCAAGTTTCTGAAACAGACAAGGACTACACAAAATAATCATTATTTTAAGGATTCCCCCGCAATTATTTCTGGTTATTGTAGAAACTATCAAAAGAAATGTCAGTTAAGTGCAACTCTTCTTTTAAATATTAAATTAAACATCAGTTAAACAGCAAAAGAATCATCTTCACTCAAATAGACATTCACAGATAAAATAAACTCATTAGATGAAACAAAACTTTATAAAATTTCTGTACTGCGCAAAGCCATGAGATTTGCAACGCATTCATCTTTGGATGTTTGAATAAGTAGTGAACTCTTATCCAGCCATTTATTTTAAGACAAATTCCAACTGTATTTAAAAGATAATATGCTTAGGCTTGAAAGACAATATCAGGCATTGCTCCTAAGTGAACTTTCTTAGATATCCACAGAAATACATTTCAAAATGTATAAACCAGAATATCCCACTGTCTTAATAAAAGCTAATTTGCTTTGACTAGAATTCTAATACCATTATTTATCTTGAATTCTTACTTTAAAAAACTCCATTTAATGCATCTGGGCTGTTCTTAGAACAACCCCTTTCATTTCAAATAAGCATACTGAAATCAGGTCTTTATTTATTCACTAAGCAGTTTCACAAAGAAAAGTGATGGTCGGTTTAATTATAAATGATAGCAACAGGGACCCCGTATCTCACCAAGTTCCTGAGGACCACCCAAACAATATGCTCAAATCAGAATCAGTATCTTCATTAGGATTGACAACTGTAACTTGAATTCTGTGATAATGTCAGGAACAGAAGTTATCTATTCCTTCACCTTTCTATTCAGTCTTCCTCTGAAAGTCACCTTTTAAATGCTTTTCGGTTAATAAATTAATACCTGAAAAGAGCATCTTCACCATAATTGATACAGGGATTAGAAAGCGTATTTGTGAAGAAATCTATAAATTATAACAATTCCCATCAGACCCAACAACCTACACTAAGAGGAAGATTTAAAAATATTGATATTACGTCAAATCTTGCTTTTAGCCTTTTTCCCTTAAAAAGGGAAAGGCTTTTTTTTGCTTTCTTCCCAGTGGTACTTTGGAGATCAGTTTTTCATTGGTAATTATTTATCTGTAAAACAGACTGTAAACAACAAATTCAGATCCTATGCCAGCGGTCACAATTTACCACTCAAGGAAAAAATGCTCTGAATTTTCTTTTTTTTTGTCTTTTTTACTTTCCATGCAAAATATTCAATTAAAAGATGTCCATTAGTCAAAAAACTCGATAGGTCATCATAAACTCAGACACCACTGCATGCACTTCTTTGCATCCAATTATGAAATACCTGATGTTGCCTCACATGGAACAGAAACTCATCTTCACATTCTTGTGGAGGTTTGATTGTGCTCATTTCCAAGCTAAAGAACAGCATTCAAGGGTGGCGATATTCTTTTCTTTGCGCTAGCATTTTCTATTAACATTTTAACAGACATTTGTGCCAGTCCCACTTACTACCCTATTCAGACTTGCAACCAAACTGTTGGTTTGCAAGTCATACAGATCATTCATCACCTAGTCCAATGCAGCACTCACAGAGCAGTAACCACCTACAGGAGCTGAACTTAACACATATTAGCATGATGCACACTACCAGGCAGGGCAATGCTGACCAATGCTATCAGTACCCTCGTACCAGCAGGGTTAGCCCTTTCATTCTCCTCCAACAGTCATCAGGGCCAGCAGAGACAGGAGTCTACTGCCTTCCTTCCATACTATTCCACACCTTTTATAACAAACTTTGCTATCTCATTTCACAGCCGAGTAAGAGTCTGTACCATTTATTCCAGCTACCAGTCAGCCCTGGTTAATTAATTGCTCATGCCAGAGTTGAAGGAGAAGAGTTTGCTGCCAGGGCATGCAACAAACTCCACATCACTATTACAATCCTACCAACTGTCAGGGGCCAAACATCAGTCTTTTACTTCAGGAAAATATTTGTTCTATCTGGCACGTTGGGCTTTGAATATTCTCATTTCCACTGAATGCTGTTTTTAAGAGTTACAGTTTATCAGTTGCAAATACTACAGATGCATATAAAGTTGATGGCCTTGAAAACGGCATGGTATAAGACCCCTCTAACTGATAAAGTATTGTCCAGGTATAGGATCAAGTTAGATGTACTTCTATGGCTTTCATTTCCTAACTTTGTAAGAGCAGCGGGTTGGAACAGAATGTATCACAGTCTTCTCATCGTACACCTCCTGCCTTGTAAAACTCAGCATCTCTGGAACCCGACTGTGCACTGCTGCTACTATGCTATGCAATATGGAAATAATAACGGTGCTGTGTTTCTTCTCTTAAAAATGAATTGGCTGTCTCATCAAACTAGTATTTCTACCTTGACTATATCCTACATACACTGTTGCTACTTCAGTGTGAAACTGAAGCATATGGTAATCAACTGGTTGACTGACTTGGATGAGTCTAAAGTAGCATTTTCTCTTACCTGTACACTTGGATGAACATGCCAAAACAAGCATTTATTTTTGTTATTTTCAAAATTGAATACAGAGGTAGCTGATAAGGAATAAATAAGATACTTTAATATAAAAATGTAATGCTACACTAAGCAAACTACTATAGCCATACTTGTGTTTTAAACAACGTTTCAATAAAAATAAAAACTAAGTTCCCTAGCTTCATTATCAAATGATTTTTGAAATCTGTAAGACAACAACAAGTACTAAGAATAACTGCTTTGTCAACATCACAAATTTCATATCTTTGTAAAGCAGTTTTGTGAAATTGAAGCCTTTTAAAATATACATTTGATAGTTATAACGTTGAAATACAATAAAAGCTGATGTTGTGGCAAAACCCTATAATCTCCTCTGAAATATCAGCCATCCATTCTAAATGGGAAATGTGATGGTTGTACTCAAGGCACCAGGTAAGTCAACATGCTGTTAATTGGCATCACACCTCTGAAGGAAAAACAAACAAACAAAAAAAAACCCAAAACAACAAAACAAAGAAAACCCCTCTTACAACTATACTGCAATTACATGCTTTTTGTCACATTCATAAGTATATAGGAAAGTCCAACCGAAGTCATTAAACACTGCCACACAGTGCAAATCATTGCATTTATATTTGTGGCTGTATTAAAAATAATATCTGTGAGCAATCAGGAGAATCTTGATAAATACTTAGATACAGCTGACTGTACAAATGATCACTTCATTATATGACAAGCAAGGGTTTATTAGCAATGCCTTCAGAGAAGAAAGAAAGCAATAGTAGGATGAGATATTGCTCATAGTCAAGTGAAAGCTCTGACCTGCACGTGAGATTGCCACTTTCAGCTATGAGCTGGAACTGCAGTGTGAACTCCAACTCAGTAACAGAACACACGTAGATCCTTAGTGCTGTGTTCTATTAACAAGCTTAGGCATATGCACAAGTGCAGACCATGGTGAAAGTCTCCATAAACAGAATTACAGTTTAATAGCAAATTAAATCTGAGTAAGGAATCCACTATTCTTCACTCTGATTTTCACCGAAACAATTTTACTTATCTATGCTTGAGACCAAAATTATTAACAATAATTGTTATGATTTAAAAGTGGCATGAAAAAAATCCTATGTAAAGCTAATATGAAGCTGCTAAAAATCCTGAAATACAGAACATGCTGCTAAATTCAGACAGGATTACTTAATGTTGTATTCTACACATCTTGCACTTGGTAATGTAATTTCTCAAAGATGGTGTTTTTTTAAGTTATCAAGACAAGCTTTACTGTGCGTTGCACTTATATAGTCACTCACAACCTCCTTTCTGTGGAAAGCTACATACAGTAACACATTTCTCACTCCTCAAGGTAAGGTGCTTTGGTCCTTGCTCTACTTAAGTGCATTTTCACTTAGAAATCAAAAAGCAAAGAAATTATTTTCTCATCACACCAGTTAATAGCCACTATACCAAAATACAAACGGCTCAAAACCACACACAACTGCATCTTTTGTTTATTCTCTGAGTGAGGAATCAGAAATCATAATAAAGAAATGTTTGAGTGGTCAATAAATCTTGATCACGTACTTATTCACACACACAGCATACAACACACACTATCCTGGATTAGAGTGTCAGTTATGTAACAAATATATACTGCAAGCCGTGACTTTCCTTGGGCCATTGGGTTGTATCAGAGCCATGTGTGGAATATGCTACAAACAATGAAAAATAATTTCTCTCTTGTGCAAGCAGGCTGAAGTTTGGCTTCTCTGCTTCCAGATGTAATGACCTTCAAGATAAACAACAGAAATTTGTATGAGGATTGCTTCAAAAGCAATGCTTCCTATTTGATTACTGTGGTCTTTCCGACCCTAAATCTCCAGACAGCTGATCCTCTCCACACCACACAACTGTGACCCTCTGACCCTGCCCACTGGATCCCTCCAAACAGCTCTCCAACCCCAAGCAGATCAATACTCCTGCCCAACCTGGCAGTCGTCACATACCCACCGAGCGCACACTCAGACCACTGCCCGCCAAAACTACCAACACAATCTCAAACACAGCCAGTCCTTACCTCAAGCTCCATGGAAGACCATGTTGCCAGCTGCCAATCACATCCAACACCATCCACAACAACTCTGACATTCCTCAACCCACCAACAGTAGTCCCAGTCCAGCCATAAGCAGCCAGCCTGTCCAAGAGAATGCTATGGAAAACAGCATCAAACACTTTGCTAAATGCTGAAGACCCACGTGGGATATCATGGAAAGAGATCAAGCCAGCAAAGCTGGTCTGCTCACTTGACTACAAACACAAACCAACTGGGTCTGGCCACCCTATACATGCTACGTCCTTGTATTATTCC